ACCTACCATTGCCAAGTAGGACAGTGGTGAACTAAATGATCTCCAGCTGCTATGAACTGCCAAAACAAAACAGCAAATGTATATATATTTATATGCACTAGTTTTATCAACCTTATTAAGATGAATTGTACTTATGCAGACTAAATGTCAAATCACATACACTTCATTCATTTGTTCAGTTCACAAGCAACAGCTTTTACAGCAATTCCTGAAGATGAACAAATGAAAATAGTTTGTCTGGTTTGTGCTAATAAATTATAAAATTATCTACCCAGTTTACATACACATACTTTTCTTCACAAAATGATTATATACCAAATTTCTTTAAAGCTCTGGGATATAATTATAATAAATAATGATGGATTATTAATATAATAATAATTAATAGAATTATTAAAGCATTAATAAGATCATTGAAATATATTAAAGTTAAAAGATCTAGGAAAATTATACAGACCTCTGTCTGGGCCCTAAGAAACAAAAGATAAAAGGTAAGGTACCTGAAGAGCCTCTCTCGAAGCTGTTGTACCTGAGATAAGAATAAGTCTGGTAGATCATAATTCAATTGGCCTCTACATTCTTAAGAGCCAGTATTTGTTTGAAAAAGTGATCCTTCAGATCAGAAACGGGCCACCAACTATCCATATCCAACATTTATTTCAATGTGTTTCTTATTTGGCCAACCCTCATTTAACCTTCACACAAATAGTCATTAAAAAAGTTATAAAACATATTTTACATCTAAATTATGTAAGATTGTGTTGCTATGTAATAATTCTAATCATTGGGCAGATTTAAATCTTATTTTTCATGAAATAATGGTAACCAGTATAGTGAAGATAATACTACACTTTAGTGATTTCCCCTTTTGATTTCAAGCACATATTTGGAGCTGTGAGAACTAATTTGCGACATCAGACTTAATTATTTGTCTTCAAATCCACTTCCTCAGAGAAAAAAGGTTTCCTTAACAAACAAGTTTCCTTTTTTTTTTTAACTCCAGAGGGAAGGAAGAATTATTTTATTTAGTCATCCTTCCCAAGTGTGCCATACATTTTTCAGTGTACAAAGCTGCACACTAATTAATGTTTAATAAATCTATTGAAACACATCTTGGGATACTGTAAGTTCTTACAAGTACTTAAGTATATTTTGGCCTGATACCATAAAGCTTCCAAACAAGTTTTTGTCTCTTTCCTTTCATACAAGTTGTCTAGTAATTCCAAATAGCTGGTAACATTATATTAAGAAACAGCCCTTAAGCTTTTCACCAATGTAATCCCGAAGGAAGTATGTAGATGTAAAATCTACTTCAAGTAAACCTGAACAATTGGTTATTTCATGAAGATGTAAATAAAGTTGTCATAGAAGCAATAGAAAAATAATTAGCAGCTGCTTTTTCCAATATGGCTTTCCAAGTTTTAGCCTACTGTCTTAAAACTTTCCGGAAGTATCTATACAGGTTACATTGTAGGCCCATATAAACTACAAGATGTTATCTTCCTATGAATACTACTAAATAATGTAAAACATAAGCAATTCCAAGTACATTCAATGGGATGTTATTCCAGTAACAGGCCTACATCTGCAACATTAGCTGTAAACCTTAGATCTTAGTAACATGTCATGATCTAGACAGCATTAATAGGAAGTAAGAAAACCTGCCACAGGAATTTCATTTTATTGTTTTTTAAGATTTACTTCAACAAATAAGTAAATCATTATATACATACCTCTTCAGGAGTGATAACTCCAGTTTCTTTAAACTTTGATTCCTAAAAAAAAAAAAAAAAAAAAAAAGATGTCTGTAAACATTTAAAATCAAAGGCCTTAAGATAATGAAAAGAAAATGATAATGTTTTTAACCTGTACTCATTCTATCTGGCCAAATATTTCCTTAGTTTAACTTTGTAGCAGTCTTTACTTTGAAAATGTTCCCAATAACCCTTGTCTACAATAAAAGATACAGAACAAGAGGTTATCGAAGCATACTTGAACCACACAAATCAATTAGTCTTTTTGTCTAAGAACCCAAGCAGATGCCAGCAATCACTACTTTTATTGCTTATATGTTTATATTAATGAAAAATAGATATGACAATTTACATTTTTTCACAATGAGAGGATGCTACTTTTAGATTACAAAAAATAAAACACTTTCCTGACTTTACTACTGTTTTTGCTAACTATCCATATTTCTTGAAATTTTGGCTCAGAAAGAGAGTAGACATTTCACAAAGTGTCAGAATCACCATTTTTGAACTTTCAAGGCAAAAATATCTGCTCTCTTGTATTGCCACATAATGAATCTCTGAAAATGCACCATGCCAAGAAAGTGACATTTGATTTTAATGACAAGGCAGATAGATAAGAAAAAAGAAAATATAACTAACATTTAGAAAGTACTGATTTTTAAAGAGCCCTGTTGGAAAGCATTTTAATTTTTTTATTTTCTATTACCCAAAAGAACTGTTTCACATTACAAAAGACTCCCCCTGTCCCCTGATTACTTGTATAAGGATTTTCTCTATATTATTCATGTTGTCTTGTATTTTTTGTTATGGATTGCACCAGTAAAGACTAAACCGATTTTGTTGTATACATGATGTACAATGACAATAAAGGCTACTATTATTATTATTATTATTATTATTATTATTATTATTATTATTATTACCTTTATTTTTCAAATAATAGTATTGTAGAAGATTCTAGAGATACATTTGATAAAGAAGAAAAATCTATGGACAACCATTTGTTGCTGAACTACAACTTTTAATATTTCTCACTGTCGGTCATCTAGGCCAGGAGCCCATGAATTTTAATTCATTAATATCTGGAGGGCACCAAATCCCCAATCATGTTTTAGAGCAACTGATAAACATGAAGTACTTGCGGAATTCTCTTGAGAACTGCAATAGAACTGCAAAGTTTGTAGGGGGAAAAAAACTAATAAAGTTTGTGAGAAAGTTAAAGGGTAAATTTTTGGCTTTAATGTTTCAAATTTATTTAATCTGTCCCTGAGGCAACCAAAAGAATAATAGTTAACAACAATATACAGTAGTACAATAAAACATCCACAGTAAAAGTTAAAATCAATATTAAAAATATAACATAGAGACGTTCACTATACAATTATGTTATCTCAGTCATTTTAGCCCTCTCCACTGAAACAATTCCATTTTTAACTATTTCAGAATAACAGGAATGTGGGGGTCATTCCTGATATCCAGCAAGAAACTGTTCCATAGTGTGAGTATAGCCACCAAAATAAAGATAGCCTGCTTTTCTCCAGAGACACAAATGCCAGGCAGGTTGATTTTGACTGGAAATGTTTTTACCTTTAAGTTCCACCTTTCTTTATTTTTTCCTGTATCTTTTATTGTTAAAATATTGAAATATTGTACTTTGCTATCTTAATAAGCCTATTTCTCCCTCCACTTATCTACCCACTATACAAGAATCAAAACATTTTTTAATGTAAAGATCTGTGAATTATTAATATATTCAAAATAATCCCCCTAATTGTATTTATTCCATTGTAATTTTGGTCCATATTTAAAGAAACGTAAGATGAAAGCATAAATATCTTAATGAGTGTGACACAAGAACGAGAAGATAACATTGACGTGCTCACACATTCATGCCATATGCTCACTCCAGAAATATGCATCTTTCCCCACTATAGTATCTTGTGACAAAATCCTGTGATGCCAGCAATGCCTTTAGAGGATTCTGGATTAGGGAATATTCAGATCCTTTATTTTTCAGCAGAAAATGCAAATTTTAATTTTGCCAGTGTATGCATTTGCCTATCAGACTCACTTTTACAGCAATTATTCTTTTTCTTTCTCTTAGATATAACTCTGCCTTATCACTGATCTTTAGACACCAGTTCAGTTTGGAACAATAGCAAGACCCTTGCCACTCTTACAAAGGATAATTGAACAAAGTGGTCTCCCACCTTATTCCTTTCTGTGGGTGAGACAGAAAGAGTGAGAGAAATACTCAGACATAAGTTCCTTTGGGCCAGAGAATCCCAGGCTCCTGGACTCCCAAGTCTAGTTGGGGTAACTCATATTCCTCCAAAGTGGCTAAATTTGAATTCCCAGATTTTTTTTTAATTTCATTTTTTTTAAAAATTGCCTGAAATTCTGCAAACTGTCCTCCATCAGCAGCTGAAGACCACAGATTCACCACCAAGAATTCAAAAAAAGTTTGAATTCTTTTCCCCACTGACAGAAGAAGCATCTTTCCAAATCCTAGCATTCTTCAGCTCCACGCATTATTATTTCTGACCCCTTTCCAGGGGACATGCAAAGGGACGATACTATCGGGACAAAAAAAGTTTGGGAAGAGTGGAACCGACTGTTCCCTTTTTTTTTTCCCCTCCCTTGCAAAAACTTCACATTCAAAACTACTGCTGTCCAAGTCTATCGGACCCCAATTCCCACAATCGGCCCAGGGATTATGGGCTCATTTAGTCCAAGTCGAAGAGGGCTATCAGGTAATAGATGTGTCACTGCCTGAGGCTCCTCCCCTCCCCATTTTGTGCCCGGTAGGCGGCGCCTCACCTTTAACACAGGTGTGAGGTATTCGGCCACCTCCAGCGCCTTTCCCTTCACCGTGTTGATGACGTTCTGCATGGTGCCTTGCTCTGCAAGTGGGGGACAGAGAGGGGAAAACGCCTGTCACCAACAGCCGACCCGCAAATTCAACTGCGCCGTCGCTCTTCCCTCCTTTAGCCTTTCCTTCCGGGAGCTGAGAGCCACCAAGCGCTCTACCCCCCCCCTCCCCGCCCACTACCTTCAATGGGGTATGGGGGGTGGTGGAAGCAGGGAGTCACGTGAATTCCATCGACACGTGACCTGCTAGATATCCGCCCCGCCCCTTTTTTCCGCCCGGCGGCAGCCGCAGAACCTGCGCCTGCGTGGAAACAGAGAGCTGAGTTTGTGGGCTGACTCACGTCACCCATAGATCTACGTAATTTCTACTTTGTTTACTTGTCTTGTGCGTCACACATCCCCAAGGTGGTAACTTCTAGATTGACACATGGGCCCCATTTTGTAAAGCTGTAAGTTAATGCTTCAACGGGTGTGAGACCAGCTCTCGACGGCACTTCTTGTTTGCCACTTTTCGAAAGCATTTAACGTCGATACGTTTCTTAGCTCTATGGATGCCGTTTCTTTCGAGTCACTGCGCATGCTTCCCCGCCGGGTGCATCATGGGAGAAAGGAGGCGGCTGGGAAATGCCGGCTCGGGCTCCTCAGCTCTGCGCGTGCGTGCCGGAGCGGCAGGTAGACTTAAGGCAAAGGAGGCGATGCCCGGAGAGGATCTGCAACTGCCAGGTAACCGAGCCTTTGGCTGTGAGCTTAGGCAGATGAGATCGAGCGCTGGTCCTATATGGCACAATTTTTAAAAGCCTGCTCTTTTGGGGGGGGGGGGGATCGCAGCTCCATCAAGAAGGCAAATGGGAGCTCCATCGTTTGATTTTCGCTCACTTGTATGGGCTCCAGTAGTCCTAAGTCAGAAAAGGAGGGGCTTTTTGGCAAACCATTGCTGGCTTCCAGTTGTGTCAGATTTCAACCTCTATTGCTTCCAGTTGGGGTAGACAGCTGTGCGTCTGGAAGGCAAAGAATTGGTGCAGGATGTTTTACAGTGGCTAAGGCTTGGTTCACACGTGTTAAACAGGTCTTGCTTTGCTTTTGGGGAAGAGTTTATCAGTGCAATAGGCAGAAGGAATAACTAACCAAGACAATGGTAAGAGAAACCTGGTTTCTTGAACTGAAACTTGGTTACAGTTATTCCTTATTATTATTATTCATATTTCTATGCTGCCCACTCTCCGAAGACTCTGGGAGTCTTACACCAAAGACAGTATACTAAATAGCATATTGCCCCCAACAATCTGGGTCCTCATTTTACCCACCTCGGAAGGATGGAAGGCTGAGTCAACCTTGAGCCTCTGAGATTTGATCTGCTGAACTATCAGTCAGCTGAAGTAGCTGCAGTACTGCACTCTAACCACTGCGCCATCTCGGCTCTTGGCTTCTGCCCATTGCATTGATAAAACTTCCCCAAAAGCAAAACAAGACCTGTTATTGTCACGTGTGATTAATTTACATTTCACTTGGTTTTTGCTGTGGATAGGTTAAGGTGTGGGCTGTGTAGCTAGCTGCCTTTATTGAATAAACCGAATGTATCCGACAACCCACTGTTAGAAATAGTGTTAGGTGTGATGGCTTGGTATCTCAATTGCCTAAATATAGCATTTCATTCACAACTATATTTGCAAAGCTCTGTGGTACAACAAGGATATGCCACGCCTCTTCACTACCATCTTCATGTTGGATCTGAAATCATTGGCTGCTGCTTTTAGACCAGAGATCTTCAAACTTGGCAGCTTTGCTGGCTGGAGAATTCTGGGAGTTGAAGTCCACAAGTCTTAAAGCTGCCAAGTTTGAAAACCTCTGTTTTAAACAGTCTCAAGGAATTTACACCTTGAATATAAATTGGCACTGAGTATGGCATTAATTATAAAAACTTACTGAAATTATACAACATTTAGGTACACATTTAACTAGAATAAGTCTAACTTGTTGCCTTTTGAATCTGTTATAGATAGTGCAGAAGTAGAATAGATTAGAATTAGAATTAGAATTAGAATTAGAATAGAATAGAATAGAATAGAATAGAATAGAATAGAATAGAATAGAATAGAATAGAGTTGGAAGGGACCTTGGAGGTCTTCTAGTCCAACCCCCTGCCCAGGCAGGAAACCCTACACCACTTCAGACAAATGGTTATCCAACATCATCTTAAAAGAAGTAATTATATTGAAACCCTTGTTTTTAAAGAAGAGATTAATACTTTATTTCAGTTGATTTTTAAGAGTTGCTATGAAGATGTTGAGAGATTGCCATTTGAGCTTGAGCTCCCTTCATTATATGCTTGGCAACACATACAACACATATACACATACATGTATTAACTGAACAGTATGGCTTGCACTTCTTGCTTCTTTAAGAGATCCTGTGCTTAAATGGAAGCAGAAGTGGAAGTTTATGGGGTTTTTTTTGCACTGACATTTAAAGTAATTTATAGAATAAAAAAAGGCATGCATATTGTCGTCACCAAAGTCACACAAGCTAATACTACTTTTTTATGAGGTTGTAATAACAGAATCTTGCAAGTCTGAATGCACTTCTCTCCTCCCTCCCTCTGTCCCTTTATCTTTGTGAGAACTAAAGAGGAAAACGCTTACTCGGATTGCATATCTGGCCTGGACTTAAGTTTCTTTTATTTTACCATTGTCTTGGTTACAGTTATTCCTGTTTATTACAGTTTAATTGGGTTTGGATTTCTTTGTCTTTTTCTTTTTTTCCTTTTTAAGATGTTAATGGATGAAATTTGGAAGGGAGTGTGAGCAATTGTACTTATTTTATACCGGATCAAACCCTTGCTCTAAAAAGATGTATTTTATCTATGTTTAAAAATAAATTTTAAAAAATTTCAAAAAAAAAGTTTCTTTTATCTTACCATTGTCTTGGTTACAGTTATTTCTTCTGCCTATTGCATTGATAAACTCTTCCCCAAAAGCAAAACAAGACCTGTTATTGTCATTCAAGATATTTAAGGTATAAATAAGATTTTCCAGCTCTGTCTCAAAATCCTGGTAGAAAAGTTAGCTTCTCCAAACAATGAACAGTTGAGCGGTTGTATCATTTACTTTAGAATGAAACAAGCAAAGAGATATAACTGAAAAAGATTTTTTTTCTGTGATATTATTTTAGCATATTTAAATATGATGCATGATGAAACCAATACTTAATTTCCTTTTTTAAACTAATATTCCTACTCCATTATTGTGGAAGGTGATACCTACAATTGATAATAAATTTCAGGAGAGTACTGTAGTGTGCTCAGTTGCTTCAGTTGAAATGTGTTATTCAGTAAAGACTAAATATAAGATGCATCAAGATCAGGGAACGTTTTTATTAATTTTATGTTGCTAGTACTCTATTTAAATGGTTTATTAAAATAGTATTCAAGCTTACCATAAATAAAGGCCACTAAATTTATGTTCAATGCCTCAGAAAAACATGCATTAAACTTGCTTTTATGCAGTTTGTGAAGAATCCAGCACTAAACAGCTTTCTGAGTAGTCTAAGAGTAATAAATGTTATTTTAAAGAACCTACCTGATATAGTGTTTTGCTCTGTGGTTCAAAGTGCACTGACAACACAGCAACAGCATGGATTCCAAACGTTGCAGTCAGTCTGCTCGATGGTCCAAGTCAGCCATTTATACACTGCTTCTAGGAGGCACCTTTGTTGCATTGGGGTCAAGTCGTATCCTTCTGATGAAATACTCTGTCAATGAAGGTATGTTGGAATACTTATTTCTGTATAAATACTACCAGAATTTGTTGGCATGCTCTTTGCTGATCTGTGACATGAAGTTAAAATAATTAGTTTTTGTAGAGTCTTGATTGCTTTTCATAATTGCTTTTCAATATGAGATTGGTTCCAAGAGCCATTTTAGTAAAGAATACATCTTTCAGATAGTCAGAAACTTTTGTGACATCAAATACAGCACTGAAGCACTTTCTGTTAGCAATCTAGTCAAAAGTGAAAAAGCATACAATACTACACAATTAGGATCAGAACATTAATTTATAGTACAAAGAAGCCTCAATTTTGAATCTCACTCCCTGAAACCCCTTATTTACCAATCAATCAGAATAGAACTGGAAGAGACTTTGGAAGTCTTCTAGTCCTACTCCCTGCTCAAGCATGAGACCCTACACCAGTGATGGCTAACCTTTTATGTCACCGCGTGCTGACCTGCGTGCTGGAAGTGGCACGTAAAACCATCCTGCCTTGTTGGCTTTTGTGCACACGTGGACACAGAAACCTGGAAAAGCAGTGTTCCATCTCAGGCCAGCACCCAAATTTCCAGTTTCTGGCATGGAGGCACGCTCAACGAACAGCTGGCTGTCACCCATGCGCGTGACAGAAACCTGGAAGTTTAGGTGCCGGCGCACACATGCGCGATAGAACACTACTCTTTTGGATTTTGGCGCATGCGCAAAGGCCAGCTGACCCGCACACATGTGTGCACAGGAACGCAGAAGAGGATCCAGCGAGGCTGCACATCCCACATGGGATGGTTCTGCATGCTGCTTCCAGCACGCATTCCATGGGTTCGCCAACATGGTCCTATACCAGTGATGGCTAACCTTTTTGTCATCGCGTGCCAGGAGAGGGGGGCTGGGGAGGCGTGCGCGCACGTGCCAACACCCATAATTTTATGCATCCTGCCCCCCCCCCACATGCACGTGCAACCCCCCCTCCCCCCCTCCTGGCACACAATGGCCCGGTAGGCCCGTTTTTCTCTCTCACCTGGCTCCAGAGCTTCTCTAGGAGTCTGGGGAAGGCAAAAACTGCCTTCCCCACTCCCCCCCCCTGAAAGCCCATTTGCCAACTTCTGGTGGGCCCAGAAGGCCTGAAAATCAGCTGGCCGGCACGCGCATGTGTGCCAGAGTTGAGCTCGCGTGTCCACTGATATGGCTACACTGCCACCGGTGGCACATGTGCCACAGGTTCGCCATCACGGTCCTATACCATTTCAAACAGGTAGCTGTCCAGTCTTTTCATAAAAACCTCCAGTAATGAAGCACCCACAACTTCTGAAGGCAAACTTTTCCACTGGTTAATTGTCCTCACTGTTAAAATGTTTCTTCTAAATATTAAAATATTAATACTAAAATATTAAAAAATACCAAATATTTTCCAAAAGAAGAAGATATCGTTTATATTCTTTCTTTTTTATGAAAAATTATCTGGAAATAAAAGTGGAGGCTTTTTAAATACATCTTGTTGATTGTACATTTCTACATTAGCTGCCTATTGTAGTATTTTTACTTTATTTAAAGTTTATATATGCAGTATTCATGTGAGTTCTCTAAATATTTTTCAGATAATAAATATGATTATCTTCCTGCAACTGTGAATGTGTGCTCAGAATTAGTTAAGCTTGTTCTTTGTTTGATAATGGCTCTCTGGGTAATCAGAAAAGGTAAGCTGTTAGAGCTAAATTGTTATGATATTTAAGTTTGAAGGATAAAGTATATGTAATTTCTAGAGAGGAAATTTTCTTTGGGGAGGCTGATAATCAACAAAAAATAAAGAAGTAAAGTATATCATGAATTATCTCTGGAAAAATGAAATGAAGAATAGAAACAATAATTAAGTTGGAGAAATTAAAAAGCATATTTTATTGTATTGTATTCTATTGTAACAGAATCATATTAATGAATTTACATACAGAAGTAATATAAATCCCAAATTCTGCAGATGGTTGAGGCAACCTGTATAGAATTTGAGATACTAAATTAAATTTAAAATGTTGCTTTAAAATATCTGGTATAGGTATTGAATATAATTTATTTTAGTGCTTAACGTTTTTATACATCGCTGTTGATTTTTAAATTATTAAATTTAAAATATTAAGAGAATTAAACTATATTTAAATTATTAAGAAAAAATAATTTTAAAAATTAAAGGAAAAAAAGGTTATCAGAATAGAGTGTTTAAAGCAGCCTTCCACTCTACCGCACAAGATGATTTAACACACAAATTAAACATAAATTACCATATGTTTAATTTCCAAAGAAAAAAGAAAATTATAGCGATCAGAGATCAAAATTTTAATTTGAATATCATTCAAAATCTTTCTAAGAAAGCCTGGTAAAGTTTCATATCTGTGTTTAATATGGAGGCTTCCAACTATAAATTTTTTAAGGAGTCTGTCTATGGTGCTTTGTTTTTTTTAAAAAATCAACAATAATCATGTGATGAGGACCGTGTAGATATGTACTGATAATTAAATGCATTGAACTATTTTTCTTCTTACTTCTTTTTCGTTTTTAGGAGGATATTCCCATAGTGGATTTGGCTGCAGCTCTTGGAGGCAATTGTATAGCTATATAAAGTGGTCAATTCCAGCTTTTCTTTATTTTTTAGATAATCTGATTGTCTTCTATGTGTTGTCCTATCTTGAACCAGTAAGTATCACTTCAGAAATGTAGAATGGTCTCTGTGTGTTCTAATGGAAAGAGAATATATCTTTATCATCTTAAATGCTTATATCAAATTTCAGTCATTTTAAGAAATTATAGATAGGATTGCTTTCTGTCGAATAATATTTCAGTAGTTGAGTTGCTATTTTAGAGATGTTACATTCAGTATGAGCTATAATATAAACAGAACACAAATTTCATGGGCTAGATGACTGTATTAAATTCTTATGTTTTGTCAGTGCTTTCATAAATCTTTCAGACAAGAAATCTATATTGTCAGGGGTGTTTTCAATACATAAGTTTGTGTAAGAAGCATAACATATAAGTAATGTCAAGGAAATTAAAGTAAACTTTTTAATTAGAGCCGGGGTACATAACCTTTAGCTTACCAGAATCCATTGAACATTGGCTTAAGAGTGAGAACAGGTAGTCCTTGGGTTACAATAGTTGGGACTGGAATTTCCATTGCTAAGTGAAGTGGTTGTTAGATGAACCATTGCATGACTGCATTGTTTAATGACAGAGGTTCCTGTAGTCCTAATTGCAGGTTAGGCCAGGACTGGGACATCATTAAGCCAGGATCTCATGCTTCTCCTACCCTATCATGATCCTTTCTCCTTCAATTCCACCACCTACATATCTCCTTCCCTTCTCTGCCGTTTTCGCTGCCCTGCACTCTCACCACTTGCTTCTGCCACCACCACCCCCAGCAGGTGGCAGGATTAGGCAGCAGAGTGCACAGTGGCCAGAAGGGCAGAAGTGGGGGAGAGATAGATGGGGGGGGTGGAATTGAAATGCACTTTGCAGTCATATATGCTGGCAAGCTGCCAAGCATCTGAATTTTGATCATGTGACCATAAGGGCCTTGCAACAGCTGGAACTTTGAAGACTGGTTGTAACTACCATTCATTCAGCGCTGTTGTTACTTTGAATAGTCACTGAATGATCCAAGGACTATTTGTAAGTGATTTGCATTTTTGATGCTTAGGAGGAATTTGGGGGGGTGCGTACATGTTTTCACGATAGTGTCAAAAGTCTGAAGACAGTTTTACTTATAAAGATGAGAACAGTATTGTAAAAATAGAGTTGGATGTAGTTTTATGGTTTATTAAGATGGGAATGAATGCTGGCTGCTTTCAGTATGACACAGGCGGATTTCCATTTGCAAAAAAGAAAACAACCCTTTGAACTTCTCTGGTTCTTTCCATCCACTCCCCCACATCAGAGGTATATAACCTCAGGTTTGCCCTAGAGTAGATTTGAGAGGAATCACTACTCATTTTGATTAACCAGTAGGTTCAAAGGATGGGAAACGATGTCTCACATTCTTCTCACTTTCTGTTTCTACTCAAATGGGGGAATCAAGATTACTATAGAATACCATATAGTGAAAGTTATAAACTGAACCAATTGTGATTATCTCACCAAATGTCCTTTCATTAATTGAAATCTACTATTCAAGATGACAACATATATGAAAAGAGTATCTTTTGTCATTTATGAACACCTAATGGCGAAGAACCTTCTATGGACAGAAAGAAAGCGCTAAAACATTGGTCCATAATTTGGGAAATAAATGTTAAGGTTTTGTTTTTCTGCTTGATTCTGTGAAATATAGGAATGCTTGCTTTCAGGACCTCTCTAGACAGCAAGTTCATTTTTTAAAATAAAAGTGCATACTATCTCTTCTTCTTCTAGGCAATGGCGGTTCTGTTCTCAAATTTTGTTATCATAACAACAGCTCTTCTATTCAGAATAGTGCTGAAGTGAGTAATTATGGAAACATGTTATCTTTTGCCATTTCTTTGTTTCCTCAAAGTTCTCTTCTGAAGCAATTTTAAACAAGGCTCTAAAGATAATGAAAATTAAAAGCACATACAAAATGATATTACTACTATTGTGATTTGCTAATGAATGCATAGCTCTTGAGTTTGGTGTACCTTCTGTGATTTCTTTTTGTTAATGACTCAGAAGGCAGTCCTAAATATGTTATCAAACTGGGTGATAACTTGTATTTGCTCCCGCAAATGGTTGTTTTCAAAGACATTATATTGTAATATTTACTTACATAGCGTAGGATATTGTTAGAAGAACAATAGCTGTCCAGAGTTGTCTAGAACTGCAAGATGGGCAGCACATAAATTTAATAAATAAATAAATGAAAGAACAATGGCACACCTTCAGTAGATATAAAATAATTCAGTATGCAGAGTGAATCACCCTGTTAGGTATAAGAGGCATTATAACCAGTAGTGGGTTTCAAAACCCGGCACTACCAGTTTGCTATTGGTAGTGCGCAGGCGCCCACGTTCACTTTGCAAGTGTGCGGAGCTTCTGTACAGGTGCAGATCATTTTTGATGACATCTGGGTGGGTGGATGGAGCCTCCTGCCACCGTCACTACCTGTTTGCCCAAACCGGGAGCAACTCACCACTGATTATAACTATTTGGATTTCAATATTATTGTCCAAAGAATTTTTCCTGATACGATACTAGAACAGATGTCACACTGCTGCCTTACCAAATAAGTTAACTCTTTTTTCCCCTTACCCATTATTTGTGCTTCTTTGAATCAACTTACATCATTTTTTCCTCTCCATGCAGGCGACAGGTCTCCTGGGTGCAGTGGGCCTCTTTGCTGATTCTGTTCCTGTCTATTGTAGCTCTGACTGCAGGGACAGGAAGCAATAAGCATAGCTTGGCTGTGCATGGATTTCATCATGACATTTTTCTCAGCCATTCAAACAGCTGCCTGCAGTATACCAAGTCAGAAGAAGAATGTTGGGGAAAAGAGAACTGCACTCTTAGATGGTCCTTCCCTGGTTTTAGCTGGAATGTCACAACTACGGCAGGACCCATGAAAACAGTTCGTCTTGGACTGGGACATCTGCTGATACTAGTACAGTGTTTTATTTCAGCATTAGCCAATATCTACAATGAAAAAATACTGAAAGAAGGAGGCCAATTCAGTGAAAACATCTTCGTGCAGAATACCAAGCTGTACCTCTTTGGAGCTATGTTTAATGCTCTGATGCTAAGCCTCCGCCCTGAAAACAGGCGCCGGATAGAGTATTGTGGTTTTTTCTATGGTCACAACATATTCTCTGTGGCCCTTATTTTTGTCACTGCCTTCCTTGGGCTCTCCGTGGCCTTCATTCTGAAGTTCCGAGACAACATGTTTCATGTTTTGACTGCACAAGTTACAACAGTGATCATCACCACTGTGTCAGTTTTTGTATTTGACTTTAAGCCTTCCATGGAGTTCTTCTTGGAAGCACCTGTAGTTCTTTTGTCTATATTTATCTATCACTCCAGCGGCCCTCATTGTACGGAACACACTATTCAGTGGGAAAGGGGCAAACATAATGGAGGTGCATGGGAGCGCTCTAGTGGGGTAAGGTTTGAAAGGTTTCCTTTATAGATATTCTGTGGGCCAATTGATTTCGGTGCACACCTCTGATTGTGATGTGAATATAAACGTTTGCTATCATTGTCAAAATAGCATTATGCTGCTAGTAGGTACGGTAGTCCTTGGTTATGATTGCATGTTGAGTGATCACTCAAACTTACAGCAACGCTAAAAAAAATAGTTTGACTATTTTTGAACTCGTGATAGTCTGAGCGTCCCTGCGGTCATATAAACATGATTCCAGCACTTGACAACTGGAGCATTTTTATAGTGGTTGCAGAGTCCTGGAGTCCCATGATTGCAGCTTTGCGACCTTCACAACTAGCTTTCAACAAGCAAAGCCAATGAGGAAGGTGGCAATGCGTCTCAAGTTGAGTTCACATGACATCACACTTGGTGACCGCAGGTGATTCACTCAATGGCTGCAGTGGAGCTGATGTAAATTGGTCGTGGTCATGTGATGTTTCATTTAATAACTACGTCACTTAGCGATGGAGTAGTCGGACCCATCTGGGGTTGTTTAGTGAGGATTACCTATAAATGTGTGCTTCTGCTTCCTTTATATTTGTTCGCTTATTAGAGTGTGTCCAAATGATATGCTAACATTTACAGTTTGTTATGAATGCATCCAATTAAGTTAGCTATGGCCCTGTGTAGCGTTGAAGAAATCTGTACATATAACTGGATGCACTCAAAACAAACTATAAAGGAAAGTCATGCTATGTTGAAACATGTTACTGGGCAGTCCTGGTGAAGCAGTTCCTGTGCTCTTAGAATGTAGTAGAAAACGCTGCTGTTTTCTTCTGCCTATTTTGGAAAATGGTTCTTTTTTTGGAAACAACAGAGAAGCACTTCTGTGTGCTGACCCAAAGAGCTATTGCTCTTTGCAATAAAGGATGTGGTTCATTCAGAAAACTAGAATGGAAGCTGTGCCCTTGCTGGAAGCTGCTTAGTCTTACTGCGGTATCCCACTATGAGCCATTTCTTTCCTTTGCATTTCCTATATATGTGTTCCCTAATAACATCACATTAGATTTGGGATGGGCAGCTCTCTAGGTTCCAGAAACATTTGACATCATGATATAAATCAACCAATTTGGGGGCATTTCATTTTGTCACAGGTTTTCAACTTAAAATCTTAGTGTCTCAAGAAGTTTACAATAGTATAGTGTGGTTTTAGTGGACATTTTTAAGAAATATTTTGTATTTTTCAGATACATTATTTATTAACATTGAAGTGTGTTTTTAGAATAGCTTTGAATGTATAGTTCTTTTTTTTTTTTAATGCATTTGTGGCTATTTGCTCAGCTTTCTATTTAATTAAAATGATTTTTTAAAAAAGATTGAACACCAGAGGGCACAATCGATAAACAAGGTGCACTTATGATGTGGTTCATGCTTCCAAGCATCATTTGAATAAATACGTAGATTGTATGCAAAAGTTAATATATTAATGTGTATGTACGTGTGAAAGTAAATATAATTTTCTTGTGGATTTGTAAATTCATTAAGCCTAAAAAAAACAACAAATTTTTTACTAACTTTCTTTTGACTTTACTTGAAAAGATACAGAATTGGACTTACTTGGTTTCTCTTTTTTCCAAATTTTTGCCTGGTGCCATTGCAAAAAATATGTAATACAGATTTAATAAATGTATTTGACGAACATTTGACAAGGTCAAATTCCTACTCTTTCTACATGGGTAAATATTTTGCATGGCATATAGAATACATAACAATTGTTTTGAAAGAACAACGCATCTCAAAGTGACTGATTAGGAAGGATTTAATATTGTGCAAATGGTATATATTGTAGGATCAGGCATTCAGAGTCTACTAAATTGTATTTATTAGTTATGACATGGTTGTATGATATAAAAATTGCAGCCCATGGCTCATATATGGTTCATCAGTAACTTTTTTTGCAAGCCCCAGATCCTATACTAGAATTGACAGAACTGTCTAGTGGTAATTTGGAGTGATAACTTAAGAACTCTCCCAGTTAGGATCCTGGTAGAGCTTCTGGTCAACAAAAGTTGTACCTCCTATTTCTGATATAATTAACAAAGGTAACTTAAATTGTAATCCAGTTCCAATGAAAGAAACACTACTACCATAATTACTATAGAGCCAATACCAAAAGTAGCTATGCTTCAAATTATGGTAAACATTAGACAAATGATGTAATCTATTCATTTTAAGGAGTTGTTTATTAATTTTTTACTATCTTCCCTTTATTTTCTGTAGGATGGAGAAGAACTTGAGAGACTCACCAAACCAGGCAGTGATCATGATTCAGATGAGGAGGCCTTATAGCAAATGGTGGTCACAACTAAAATTTGGGGGAGATCGCCTGGACGTTCATGCCAAGTAGATAATGGGAAGAGCCAATTCACAAAGTATCTCCTATGAGTAACATAATCAGGCATAAAGCACAAAATTACTAGATTGTAACCAGCAGTCCTCCACCCACCTCAATCATTCATGAGTTTTCTGTCCCAACTCTTCCATCTGGTTGTGGAAGGCTCTTTCCCAGCATAGAATGAGAGAGCAGGAAACTTTCACAGTGGAAGTGGTGGAAATTTCTCACTGTTTTCACTGAGGTGGGATTTTTTTTTAAGTTCTGCTAGATGATATTTTAACTGTTCACCAAACAAAGGATATTAGGGTGGGATTAGAAAAATCAGTGGAGATTATAATTTCTCCTAATCCTCGTGACTATATATACTAATAGTGTTGAAGACCATACGCCTCTGAGTATTAAATGCAATTGGAATTTTGGGGAGATCTACATATTCTTGCCAAATGGATGATGGCAGGATAGTTTGCCTATTTACAAGCTACAATTCACATAATCAGTCATAAAGCACTGATTTACTAGAATGCTATCAAAATATTAATTATTGGGAATTATTGAGGGCAATCGTCCTTTTCTTCTGATCGTAGACTTCCCATAGGCAATTAGTTGGTCATTGTTGAAAAGAGGATACTGGAGCAAATAAAGAGATTTTATGTGATCCAGCAGAACTGTTCATGTTTCTGTGTACTTGATCTTCTAAAATGAAGATTTATTTTTGCAGCAAGAGTCATTGGAATTCAGAAGATTTGGCTGCAGAAGAGAAGCATCATTTTGAACCATGTATTTTGAGACAGTTGGGGGTTTTTTCCACCTTAAAATATAGAGACTGATGCTGACCAAGATATCTCAGTTCAAAGATGATGTGAGAGAAGAATTTATTGATGGAATTATGAAAGCTACCATATTGTGGAAATCCAGAAGCACAGTCCTCAAAATATTGCACACTACAAATACAAAGATAAAATGGTAACATTTCTTATGTGTAAAATGTGCTTTACCCTTTAAGTTTTGGAAAATATTGTTGCCATCATGTGTTGTATGCCTTGGGTACCATGTAAATCATCAGTCTTTTATATGACTACCCCTGTGATATCCAGTGTTAAAATCTGCATGTTTGAGCCTCAAAATTACAGTAATTAGGATATCATTTGAATATGAAAACCAATATTTGGGCACCTAGCATTTCTTCTAAATGCCTTCATCATCACAATTCAGATGAGTTATCCAGCTGATGGATCCATTAAATGAATGGGAAATTAATAACATTACTTTCTAGCCATTTTGCACATTTCTGTACAATCTGGGTACTATTTTTACTTTTGCTACATGAAAATAGATGAATTGTGTATTTAAGCATAAAATTTAAGATTACTTCTTTCAAAATATACTAACAGGATCATCCTTCCAGGATAATGCAAAACAGGATCCAGAAAGATAAATTGCTCCAAGTATTTATTCATTCTTAGCCAGTGTAGCTAAAGAGATGAAGGGAATTGCACTCTTAACATCTGAGGGTTGGGTGATAAAGGTTTCTACTCCTAGTATAAACCATGTAACACTGGATAAAACTGCATTTCTCTATTTTTACATGCATGTTATTCACAAACTGTGTGTTCCAAATGAATTACTTTCCCTGGTAAATAAGTGATGTGCAACTATCCCAGATTGGTGCTATACAGATACTCCATCTTTTCTGACTAATTTATCCAGTGACTATCTTTGATGGCGAATTGCAATCCAATAATACCTGGAAGTCAAGTTTGGAAAAGAATCTTTTATGGCATGTTGACCAGGAAAATTTGTAATCCAGTATTTCTAATCTTCAATGGAAATTTAAAACATAGGCCATCTTTTATATCAGCTAATGCCTTTAAAACTTTGGTCATATCTAGGTTATGTACTAGGAATGTAAATTCTTTAAAGAAAAGTTACCTACCCTATAAATATTTCTTTCTTTATTTGATTTATTTATTTTATTTTGATTTGTATGCCACCCTACTCCATAGGACTCAGGGCGGCTCACAACAATCAAAATCAAACCAGATAAAAACATATTAAAATGCAAATTAAACTTATGTTAAAACTCATTAAAATAATCAAACCCCCATCAGTCCAGGCTGGGTGATTTAAACAGCCATGTCTTTAGCTTTCAGTTTGGAACTAGCAAATTGGAGTGCCTCCCAATCCTTGTGTCTTTGATATTCAGTCTTTTGTACACATTCATATTTGTGTTAAGTTCCATAAAAGGCAAAAGAAGTACAGGCATAAAATGCAGTGTAACATAAAAAGTTTGTGCTGATACATATTTAAAGGGTGTTACAATGCATGCAAGATTTTCTGTGGATACAATGGAAAAAATTATGTTTTTTCGCCATTGAGATTCAGAGTGGAAATGTATAAAGAAAATATTACGATTGTATTCAAGACATTTAGCAACTGTGACATACAGAGAATTCTAAATTATATTGTGTAAAATAAAGCTTGAATTGTGATGTGAAGTTTCATTTCAGTTTTAAATTTCAAGTTTAAGATTCATTTGTAAAGATGCCTGCAGGGGCAAGAATTAATAGTGCAAAATTATTGAAGAGGAATGTATGAAAATGCTAGGCAAATATTCCCATCAGGGTTATTGTGTTGATATAAGGTGGTTCTATTATTTGCTTATATAACATTTAATTGATATTTTTCTATAATGTTGCTACCATACTGGAACCTGGTATAATGAAGCATCCCTTTGACCCTGCTTTATCTTTATAGCATTTATTCAGAAATACTGTTTGAAGTAAGGATTTCTTTTACTATCTTTGTTGACGCAAGTATCCATTGTGCTTTTATTTTTTGGAAGCCTTGATAGTTTCTGAAGTAGTAGTTCTAACATAACAGTGTTCCTTAACAGCAGTTGTTTAAATACAGTTGCAAGACAAACTTTGCCTAACTTACCTAATAGTGCCTGGAATAAATTAAAATTTGGAGGAGGGGTGGGTTGAGTTTCAATTGTTTTCCAGACCAGAAAAAAAGTAGGCAAATGGATGTTGGTTTTATGCATACCAATAGAATTAGAGACAGAAAAATTAATACTTTAGTGACCAATATTGACTTTCCATAACAGTTAGAAAATCAATATTCTAATACATATTTTTCAAAGTTGGCAATATCACACATATATACTTATGTTTTCAGTAATGTATGAATTTGTGCTAGGCTCTTAATGGAGTCATTTAAGGTACATCAAACTGTTGTCCAAACTAGGTAACTCTACCAAATTTCAAGGCCTTGGATTCCTTAGAAGTACCTGATTAAGCATTCCTGACCTAATATATCCAAAGGATGAGTATTATTATTATTATTGTTATTGTTATTGTTATTGTTATTGTTATTATTATTATTATTGCAAGGGCCTACATGGCTGTTGGTTTGCACATGGAGTACTTGAATGATTTTCCTCTCCTGTGAAAATGACCTGAAAGGGTGTTTTCTAAATAGAATGTAAAAATATGGAAATAGTTAAATATTCATCTGTTAGCCAGTCTTCTTCAAAAGATTCTCCTTTTGCATTCATGTGGCCTGGCAGACTCACTTAGGGAACATATATTTGTCCACTAAATATGTGGTTTGTCTGTGTTTGAGAAAGAAATCTGCTTTGTTTGGTTTATATGGACTTTAACAAGAAATTTCTTGAAAGAACATTCTGAAAGTTTTTTGCATTAGTGGTATGTAGGTTTTTGGGGGTTTTTTTTTTTTTTTGGCAAATATCTAATAACAAAAATAAATAAAAACCAAGACTGTCCAATTTAAAGCTAGTGTTGATTATTTTCAGTTGTGTCTTGATTGGTTTGGTCTTACTTATTTTAACATGACAATTATTCCTAGCATGACATTTTCAGGAAGTTGTGAAATCACTAGTTTTAGATTACATTGCACTTAAAGAAACAAAACACAAGAGAAAACTAACTTAACCATTTCTGGAAAAATTCATCTCACAAAACATTTGATAAATCTGCCTAGCATGTTTTGCAAATTAACTTTAATCAAGTTTAGTGAAATTTTAAGATCACATATGGACTACTTCCTGTCTTACAAATTGCACCCGAACATCAATTAAAACTCATCTTACTATTTAGATTTAGCTCACTCTGTCTTCTTTTGTCAATTTACACAAATATTCTCTGATAGTCCATTCAGATTGGTGTTGGCAGTGGTGATAATGTATGTGTAGCTGCTTTTGAGGTTTCCTTCCTTTGGTATTGGAGGACGGAAAAACTAATTGGATCCAAGTACAGGACACTGCAGATGAAGAGTTTTTGAATTCCAAGTTAAACCACAGAAAGTATTTCCTTTTCTTTTTTTCTGCATAGGAAATAGAAACTGGGACAATACTATTGTTTTACTTTGGAACTGTTGACCTTTAGGCCTCATGTAAATTGCAGCAGTTGCTATGACATATTAGGAAAAGGTTTTTCTGACATGCTAAGATTTTTTTTCTAGTTGAGAAGAGTATATTGTACCTGTATAGAGGAATGTTATACTTGTTTCCACCTGCAGTTTGAATTGATACATACAAAGTATAGATTATTATTTTATTTCTACTCTGCCTTTATTATTGTTACAAAAAACTCAAGGTGGCAAACATCTAACACAACTTCCTCCTCCTGTTTTCCACAACACAACAACAATCCCATGAGATGGGCTGGGCTGAGAGAGTGACTGGCCCAAAGATGTTAGGCAAAATAATATCTAACATTAAGGTTGTTTGCCCTGTGGCTTTGCTTAAATATATTGCTGGCTAAAAAGCTGAAATATCTTTTTATCCAGCAATATACTGAGCCATGATGGCATAATGGTTAGAATATAGTGTTGTAGTCTAACTCTGCCCACTGCCAGGAGTTCGATCCTGACTGGCTCAAGATTGATCCATCCTTCTGAGGTTGGTAAACTGAGGATCCAGAATTTGGGGGGGCAATATGCTGACTCTGTAAAGCAGTTTGGGTGCGCTGGAAAAGCACTATGATGCGGTATATAAGTCTGTTGCTATTGCTAAAGTTAAAATCTTTGTTCTCTTACATTTTCACTCAGAATCATAGACTATATTTAAATTATTAACTCTAGAAACTCTTCAGATTAGTAATTGACAGAATCCTATAGAGATGGCATATTATGAATAAAGTCATTTTAGTCAAAGTATTTTAAAAAGTCCTCTAGAAATCATTTTCTGTAACAACTGTAATAAACCCTCCTGAAAAACTGCACTATGAAAACCATATTCTGCAACACAATTCACTATTTTTCCTCTGTAAAGATTCACAGCTTTCAAATATATATTTCCTGGGGGAGTGGGAATGCAGTTAGACAAGAACTGATGTCCGTTGTGTGTTATATCATACCTATCATACAATAATCACCATTAGAAAGGAGTTTCTTACTCTATATATACAGTACATAGCACAAGGAAATACCTCAAGTTAAAAGGGCTCTAAAATATAAAGGAGTCTTTATTTCATAAGGCATCAGTGAAATTAATTTCACCTCTTTCAGTTCATGGAAATGTGCATTACAGAGAAGGCCAAAATTTTATACACACCTTTGACTGAACACTAAAGCAATAGAAAATGTTCAGGCAATCATGAAGCAATTTCCACATGTGGCCTTTTGTGACTTGAAAGACTAGTAGGATGCAAGCAGTCAAAGGCTAAATTGCTACTTTCTGTAGGGGTATCCATGGTGGTAACTTTCATGATGATGATGATAATCATCTTGATAACCTTCCTGATAACCTTGGTGATAACCATGGTAGCCATACTCTGCATATTCATCTTCTGGGCACCGCATGCCAAGTGACTGCTGAATGGCCATCTCCTGTCGTCGAAGTTGCATAGAGTCAATTAAATCATATACAATGACCATGGACCACATTGGGGAAGGATACCAAGATTTGACATTCCCATCTTTGCCAACCAAAAGCATGGAAAAATATTCAGGACTGATCTGGAAATAATTGCGGATGTCTTTCACCAAATGAATGGGTACGTCTTCCCTGTCCACACTGGAGCTCCCTAGAGAAGGTCAGAATTGGGGGAAATGTTAACATTTTCAGATCAGCAGATAAGTTGGTCTTGAAAGCATAGCATATATATCAATTGTATATATTTTTTACTATTTAAGATAATTGCTTTTGTTGTAACTGACCTTGAATTGGATTAGTTGTAGCAGAAATGCTTTTTGATGCTAGAAAGAATATTTCATGATCATATCAAAGAAAAAATCCCCCTTTTTTAGTGTTTTGAAATAAAGCTGCATTAAAAAGACATTTTTCCAGTAGCCAGTGCAATGCAATGGGAGAAATTTTCCTTTAGAATATCTACTTTCCTACAGAATCTCTACTGAGATAAGTAAATTCAGTGTAAAACAATTAAACCATAGGTTTTTAAAATATGAATTTTCCTAATACAGTATATTTTTTTCTTACTAATAACCATTGTAATTTAAAAGATTTGAGAACCTATTCCGGAGTACACAAATACGTATTCTCTGATGAACAAAATTAGCAAACTATACATTCAAATGTCCCAACGGTGCTTTTTCAAGAGACAACTGGACTTTCTGGTTTTCTTTGAAGACATTTTGCTTCTCATCCAAGAAGCTTCTTCAACTGAAGAAGTTTCCTGGATGAGAAGCGAAACGTCTTCAAAGAAAAACCAGAAAGTCCAGTTCCCTCTCGAAAAAGCACCTTTGGGACAGCCGTGATCTGATGACTGAGAATCTCCACAGACATATAAATTCAAATGATTTCTATAGGTTTTCCCAGCAATCTTGTGGGCAGTTAAATGCCCAATGCATCTCTGGCCATAGGAAGTTGACATGATTGTTTGAGTGGCATCTCTCTGTTGGATGAACTTAAATTTAAAGCCTGTTTACCAAAATGCTGAACATCAGAGAAGATCCCCCGAGCAGGGGTAGACAAAGTTGTAAATTTAATTCTGAGCGTTAGCAGCCACCCTGCACAGCATGTTATTCAGATTCATTTAACTCTTGATTTTCATGGGCAGAGCATGAGGTCATAACTGAGACAGCATCTTGCTATCTTCTGGCCTGTGGACTCAGAGAATATAATATTCTCTGGCTTGTCCTCAGACACTTGTGGGCAGCAGCCATATCCGTTCGGGAAATGGAGCATAACAGATGAATCTGCAAGATTGTCTACCATTCTTATGTAGAAGTGGTGATGCTGACAGTATTTAAAGAGCATGTGTACAGGACTATGAAAAGTTCCAGAATTCAAAACAATAGCTATAGTAACAAAACATGGTAGAAGTCGATCTGACGTGTATGGAACAAATTTTAAAAATCTGCTTTCCAAAATGTGTTTAGCAGAGTATTATCTGCTTTTTTTATTTGGAAACAAACAAACAAATATCCAATTAAATCTAATAATACATATATCTACAAAAAGTAGATGGAAAAATGTAATGAAAAAATAAAATGTCAGTACGAACAGCAATAACACTGGGCTTCAATTGAGGCTCACAACCCAAAGTCCTAGGGAAGGATGACATTACTACGTATTTATATGAGGTTACTATTATTATTGTACTGCCTAGTCTCAAGATAATTCACTATTTCTAAATATAAATAAATAAATAAAGGTTCAGCATAAAGAATAATACACATCATGTTTTTGTTTGGCAATCTAAGACAGTCAAAATCTGAAAAGGATTTCTTACCATTGATTGGATATAGTTCTAGAACTCCACCAATCTCTTCTCCCAGGCCTAACAACTTGAGGATAATTATATGTCGCAGACCTATAGAAGAAAGGCATCAATTACTAAACGTCTTGATGTCAATAATTGTGATAATGCAAAATATACAATTATAGAATTAAATGCAACATTTTTCAAAATATTTCAGTTATATAATCATAATTTTTATACTATACGTGGGTGTAGCCCACTGAAATTCGGTATCTAGAACTACCTAAGGCAGTTCCCCAATCCTGGAGTCTAACAGAGCCAGATACCAGTAAATAGTAAAACTCTGTATCAGACTTGCTCAAATCACTACTAAAAAATACAAAGGGAAGACATTCCATTCTGCTATTTTAGTAATTTACGGGGATACCATAATTTGGTTAAACCTTGATGAGAAAGGATATTGGGAAAATTTATATTCATGATCAGTCATTTTTTTCTCTTCATAATTCAGAGTCTGAGATTAACCCTGGAGATGTTTTCTTTGTAAGAATCTAATATGAAACATTTAGAGTGCAATCCTATAGATCAGGGGTCTCCAACCTTGGCAACTTTAAACCTGGAGGACTTCAACTCCCAGAATTCCTCCCCTATCTGGCTTTCATGTCTCAGGCAGGACTAGAACTCACAATCTCCTGGTTTCTAGCCTAGTGCCTTAACCACTAGACCAAACTGGCTCTTATTATTTACCAAAATTATTACTTACCAAAATTGCATACTTGCCCACTGAGGGCTGCAAGCTGCTGTGAATAAGCCCAGTCTTCCTCACTGGGAGTGGATATTACCAGTAGTCTCCTTCTCCACCGGAATCTGGAATGAAAAAGAGGACATACTAAAAGAAGTCCCCACATTACTAGGTAGAATCCATCAGCTAGTCATTACAGCTTTCTGTGTAGCTTCTGCCTATTTGTGATAGACCCTGTAAAGCAACCAATAGCGCTCCAGATATTGGTGAATTCAACATCTGTAGCCTTAGCCATAATGGTCAATGTGGAGGGATGCTAAGAGTTATTTGGCAACAGCTAGAAACTACAATCTCAAATGTGCTTTT